CTAAGTAGCTGTGATTACAGTCATGTGCCACCATACCCAGCTAATTTTGTATTTTTAGTAGAGATGGGGTTTCTCCATGTTGATCAGGCTGGTCTCCAACTCCTGACCTCAGGTGATCCAGCCAATTTGGCCTCCCAAAATGCTGGGATTACAGGCATGAGCCACTGCACCCGGCCAGTACAATACAATTTTAACTGTAGTCCTCATGTTGGACATTAGATCTCTAGAGCTGATCATCCTGCTAACACTTTGCACCCTTCCACCTGCATCTCCCCACATCCCCCTACTCCTCACATCACTCCTAGTAACCACTGTTTTATTCTACGTGTATATTTGACTATTTTGTTTTGGATTCCACATATAAGTGATCATGTGATATTTTTCTTTCTGTCTTTGGCTTATTTCACCTATGATCTGCTTTTTTATTTTTTTATTTTGAAACAGAGTCTAGCTCTGTCTCCCAGGCTAGAGTGCAGAGGCGAGATCTCACCTTACTGCATCTTCCACCTCCCTGGTTCAAGTGATTCTTCTGCCTCAGCCTCAAGAGTAGCTGGGACCACAGGCGTGAGCCACCACGCCCGGCTAATTTTTGTATTACTAATAGAGACAGGGTTTCACCATGTTGACCAGGCTAGTCTCAAACTCCTGACGTCGTGGTCCACTGGTCTTGGCCTCCCAAAGTGCTGGGATTATAGGTGTCAGCCACAGTGCTCAGCTAAGGTTCTGCTTTTTAAGTTAAACGTCTGAATACCTTTTTAAACAGAAATTTGATTGCATATCCCATAACCATTATAGAATACTCTCATAGGTTAATATAAAAATTATCAATATATCTGTTCATGTAAAAATCAAAGCAAACGTATTTGTTGAGTGTCATCCCAATCCACGTATTCTTCCATGCTTTTCAGTTTGAGAGCAGTCAATGAAGGTATAACCCGGTTAGAGTGCAATTTGGCCCACAATTGGTAACTAAATATGAAAATTGGAGTGAATCTAAATATTAGAAAGCAACTGAGCTAGGTTGGATAGTATTGGAATCATTTGGCTGATGACCTGCTGGGTTGGATATTATTGGAATCGTTTGGCTGATGATGCTAATCAGTTACCATTTTGTTTTTAAATGGAAGCTTCATAATCAAATAAGTTTAGTAAAATTCCTTGTGTTTACAGAGATCTAGTCAAAATGATTCTATATTTTCCTATTTAAGCATCCTAGTGGAAGTCATCTTTTGCCTTTCTAATTAAATATTTGCTTACATGTGTGTAATACAATGTCCCTGAATGAAGAAGAAAACACACTATCATACTTTTACTTCTAATTTTTATAGACATTTGAGTTCCTGTTTTCTTTATCCCAAAGTCTCCATTTGCTAGAAAAAAAAATGTATTTGTACTATTATGCATCTGTTACTTATATGGTTGGATTATCAAACTCTAAAATTCTTATTACAAGTGTGGAAAAAACAACATTGAATTAGATGTAGAATTCTGCTTAAGCCATTTATTAGCAGCATTTTATCTTAGGCATGTTGCTTAACAATCCTTTGTTTCCTCACCTGAAAAATGAGATACGCCAGCTGTCTACCTTACAAGGTTGCGGAGAGAAGCAATCAGATATGTTAGGATGGCAGAACCACCAAAAGTGTAAAAGTTCAGATTTGGAGTCCAAAGAACCTCAGTTGGAGCTTTGTTGTTACCACTAACTCTGTAATCTTGGGCAAGTAACTTCTAAGCCTTAGTTTCTTTATCTGCCAAATAGGGGTCATGATAAGAACTATCTCACACATTATTGAGAAGATTAAATGACACTATAAAGTGCTGAGCAGGTATGATAATGGTTAAAGGTTATTGAGCACTTCCTGTGTTCCAACTACCTGATCACATATATGAATGTGTTCTCTAGGCTGGAAAGCCATGTAGAGGGAGAAGCTCAATTCATGTGCTTCTCCATTGCCAGCCTTTGCTCCCATACGACCTTATTTCTAGAGCCCACAGACTTGCCATATGGAGAGATCTTAGCCAGGATACTCACTTTGAGAGATAAGGAAGAGGCCAATTTATAGCATCTACTGCTCCAGAGAGGAAAGCTCCTAGATGAGGCACTATGCCTGGAACGGGATCTCTAGTCCAAGCATTGGATTTGGTTGGGTCTCAGAGGCAGCAAACCTGTTATCTTGCATTCTTGATGCATTCCTGGTGGACTTTATCACAAGGGTCTGGGACTCTGGGAAAAGGAAAGGACAGCCAGAAGGAACGAAAACAAAAAAAAAGAAGCTTTCTCTCCCTCATATCAAACTCCACCTTTTGATTCCCACTGCCTTCAACTAACAATGAAATTACCTTTTTTTGTTTTTGTCGTAACTGTTTTTGTGATTGTCAGCATAACTGCCATTATTGTTAATACCTAAATGTACAGTGAATGCTTACAATGGACTAAGTTCATTGACTTATCTCAACAGTCTCAACAATCTTATGAGGAAGATTCTGTATTTATTTATTTATTTATTTTGTGAGATAGGGTCTTGCTCTCACTCTGTCATCCAGGCTGGAGTGCAGTGACAAGATAACAAGTTCACTGCAGCCTCACCTTCTAGGACTCAAGTGACTCTCCTACTTCAGCCTCCTGAGTAGCTGGGATCACAGACTTGCCACAGTACCTGGCTAATTTTTAATTTTTTGTGGAGACTGGGGTCTTACTATGTTGCTCAGGCTGGTTTTGAACTCCTGAGCTCAAGCACTCCTCATGCCTCAGCCTCCCAAAGTGCTGGGATTACAGGTGTGAGCCACTGCAGAAGCCACCAGCCTCAGGAAGATTATGTTATTATCCTTATTTACAAATTAATAAAGTGAGGATTAATTGGAGAGGATAAAATACTTGCTAAAGTAGCAAGTGGTATTGCTGAGACTCAAACTTGGAACTGTCTAGCTCTGAGCTCCTATTTCCGATTACTATGCTACTCTCCAATTAATTACCGACAACTAGAGTTCAAACTCAACAAGGCACTTGAATTTAAAATCCATGCATTACATTGGCTTATACACACACAGCACCCAAGCCAGTGAAAATCAGGAAACAGATAATTAGCAAATGCCGTTTGGGTATCTGTCAGCTCTCACCAAGATCTAGGAGAAGTCTTCTCTTTTCAAGATGATGAGAAAGATGCTAATCAAATTAATACTTAGTTTAGTCATCCTCACTCTAATGACTTAGCAAACTAAGATTTCTAAACAGTAGAAACAACTTACACCCTTTTTTTTTTTTTTTTTTTTTTTAGGGAAAGCCATTGTTATTTGCACTTTATTTTAGAGCCACTGGTTTCTCTGTGGCTCTAGAACTTAGATGGCCTCAGGACCTCAGAGGAGTGAGGATAGAGAAAAGGTTTAGGTTGGGTGCAGGGAGAACCTGTATTAGTCAGGCAGCCTCATCTCTGTTCTGTTCCTCCCATTCCCAGGAAAGCTGCCCTCTCCTTCCCCCACCCCTCAACGGCCTTCCTTGAAGCAAGACAGCAGTACATGGGCAGTTTACGCAACACTTCCAGGGTCTTTCCAACAAAAATGAGTTTCTGCTCAACTTGTCCTATCTCTTTTGAAAACTGAAAAAATAATAATGATTTGGGGTGAAAGTCAATGTGCTGAAACACCAACAAAAAAATCTCATGTTGTTGAACAGAAAGTAAACTTTAACCTTCAGAAAATTTTTGGTTTTCCTGTATGATATATCTTATTGTTTTAAGATACAGTCTCACATGGTTTTTTCCATATTACAAAGAAGGGTTTTCTTAAGCTTATTGTAATTTATTATAATTAGTTCTTTAAATTAATAGATGAAGTTGAGTATAGAATTATAGCTAGAGTCTTTAAAATATTTATCAGCAAAAACTATAGGATTATAAAAGAGCTCATTTAAATGTTTTGTGTTCATTACCTAGCTATTATAAATGCAAATTGGAAGAAATGCCCGGATTGGACTTGTTCTATTTTATTCTGTTGATGTAGCCTTAATTGCATATGATAAGAAAATACTTTTAGTCTGAAAGCATGCCAGACTGCCACAACCACTCTAACAACCTGCTTCAGTGAATTATCAAACAAATGTCATGTCAGTGAGTGCCTCATGAGTGGGGAAAAAAACCACTGAACAGTTTCTCCTATTAACTATTCAGTGAAAATATGAGAAAGATATCTTTCATACAATACCTTCAAAAAGGAAACAATCACTCATACATGTTTTTAAAACCCCTTGTGAATTGTAATTGTATTATAATGAATTGTAAATCTCAGGTTAAACTGCAGTGAGCTCTTCAGCAAGACTGGATTCTAGCAGTCAGGACGTTTCAGCCTTGGGTAATCAATCAAGGAACTGGAAAGAAGTAATTTCAAGGTGGTAACCCAGAACCTCAACACCATTTATGTATAATTTATCACAGCAGAGATACACACACTGATTGCATATCTGCTTGAGGATGTGTACAATCAACAGCTATTTATCTATTGCTGATTTCTAACATAGTACCAGCTTAAATCACTGAGGCAATGGAATCAAAACGACTTGTAACATTAGCTTTAGAAAACCATAATTAGAAAGGTAAATACACTGAATTCAGGAGCCAAATATAAATTCCTTTTGGATAATGTGCAGTTATGGAATACCAAATTATCTATATGGTTAATCTCCTTCATTAGTGTGAGATAATCCAGAACTGGATATAATTACATGTTGAAAGTGATGATAGTTATTATATAACATCAGTTTCCCTAATCCTACCAATATTGTTTGTTCTTTGCCAACAATCTTTTCTATAAAGCCTGTTTTGCTGCATGCAATTTTGTTTGCCTCTTGAGTTTGCTGATTTTAAAAAGCACAGATCTAAGCATGATTATTCATATCTGGGGGGGGGAAGTCCGTAATAATTCTGGCTTGAGGGGAAGTTAATATGGTAATTTACTGTGTTCCAGAGTGCCAAAGATGATCATTCTGGCTTTGCTTCTCTCTTCTGCAGCAACCATCTACTATAGGTTATGCAAGACAAATCATTAAGAAGGAAGGCTGGGGACTCCAGGGCCTCAACAAAGGATTAACTGCAACTTTGGGACGACATGGAGTTTTCAACATGGTCTATTTTGGCTTCTACTACAATGTCAAAAACATGATTCCTGTCAATAAGGTAACTATTTAATAACTTAAAATCCTGAAGGAAAAATCCTATCAGTGATGATAGCCCCATTTGTAGAATGTTTGTCCTGTCATGCTCTCTGTGCTAGACACCTACATTCATTATCTAATTTGATCCTCGCACCTGCATTGAATGCTGTTATCCCCATTTCAAATCCAGAAAGGAAGGCTTAGAAAGATCAAGGAAATTACCCAGGATCCCATAGTAAATAGTAAAGCCAAGGACCGAACCAGAGTCTGACACCAAAATTCCTCTTCTTGAAGAAGCTATATTACACCTGAGGGCTTTCCCTTTATTACTAATAAGAATTTCTAGAAACTATATTATTAATTAATTTATTTTGAATGTGAATGTCTTTAGGATACTCTAGTGTAAGATTTTTTCTTTTTTTATTATTATATTTTAAGTTCTGAGGTACATGTGCAGATTGTGTAGGATTGTTACATAGGTACACATATGCCATGGTGGTTTGCTGCATCCTTCCCCCTGTCATCTACATTAGGTATTTCCCCTAATGTTTTCCCTCCCCAATCCCCCCACCCCCAATATCCCTCCCCTAGCTCCCTCACCCCAAACAGGCCTTGGTGTGTGATGTTCCCTTCCCTGTGCCCATGTGTTCTCATTGTTCAATACCCACTCATGAGTGAGAACAAGTGGTGTTTGGTTTTCTGTGCTTGTGTCAGTTTGCTGAGAATGATGGTTTCCAGATTCATCCATGTCCCTGCAAAGGAGATGAACTCATCCTTTTTTATGACTAGATAGTATTCCATGGTATAGATGTGCCACCTTTTCTTTAACCAGTCTATCACTGATGGGCATTTGGGTTGGTTCCAAGTCTTTGCTATTGTGAATAGTGCTGCAATAAATATACTTGTGCGTGTGTCTTTATAGTAGAATGATTTATAGTCCTTTGGGTATATATACCCAGTAATGGGATTGCTGGGTCAAATGGTATTTTTATTTCTAGATCCTTGAGGAATCACCACACTGTCTTCCACAATGGTCAAACTTATTTACACTCCCACCAACAGTGTAAAAGGATTCCTATTCCTCCACATCCTCTCCAGCATCTGCTGTCTACAGATTCTTTAATGATTGCCATTGTAACTGGTGTGAGATAGTATCTCAATGTGGTTTTGATTCGCATTTCTCTAATGACCAGTGATGGTGAGCTTTTATTCGTATGTTTGTTGGCTGCATAAATGTCTCATTTTGAAAAGTGTCTGTTCATATGCTTTGCCCACTTTTTGATGGGGTTGTTTGTTTTTTTCTTGTAAATTCGTTTAAGTTCTTTGTAGATGCTGGATATTACCCATTTGTCTGATGGGTAAGGTGCAAAATTTTTTTTCCATTCTGTTGGTTGTCAGTTCACTCTAATGATAGTTTCTTTTGCTGTGCAGAAGCTCTTAAGTTTAATTAGATCCCATTATTACTTAATTTTTATCTCAGAAGCATGACTTCCTCAAGAAAATTGAAAGTTTTATATTTTAAATAAGTTTTGAACTCACAAGGAAAAATTTTCAGCCTAAAATTTAAATTTCACCTGGATATTAATTTTTTATCTAGGTTAATTAGGGTAGGTAGTCAAACAATTTTTCTAAGATTATTTGCTTTTGATGCAAAATAATAATGATAATTATTATCATCATCTTCAATACTATTATTTTAAAATGATAGCATATAGGCTGGGTGGGGTGGCTCATGCCTGTAATCCCAGCACTTTGAAAGGCAAAGGCAACCAGGGCAACACAATGGGACCTCTCTCTGCAAAAAATTAAAAAATTAACCAGGAGTGATGGTGTGCACTTACAGTAAAGCTACTCAGGAGGCTGAGGTGGGAGGAGCACTTGAGCCCAGGAGTTTGAGGCTACAATGAGCTGTGATTGCATCACTGCACTCCAACCTGGTGACAGAGTGAGACCCTATTTCTTTCTTCTTTTTTCTCTTTCTTTCTTCTTTTTCTTTTTTTGTTGGAGATGGAGTTTCACTCTTGTCACCCAGGCTGGAGTGCAATGGTAAGATCTCCACTCACTGCAACCTCCACCTCTTGGATTCAAGCAATTCTCCTGACTCAGCCTCCTGAGTCGCTGTGATTACAGGCACCCACTACCACGCCCAGCTAATTTTTTTTTTTTTTTTTTTTTTGTATTTTTAGTAGAGGCAGGGTTTCACCATGTTGGCCAGGCTGGTCTCAAACTACTGCCTGACCTCAGGCAATCAGCCTGCCTTGGCCTCCCAAAGTGCTGGAATTACAGGTGTGAACCACTGCGCTGGGCAAGTAAGACCCTATTTCTACCCTATTTCAAAATAATAATTATAATAATTTGTTAATGATAATTTACAGATGCCAACAGCCTTTTTCAACTTCTACAATATAAAAGTAACACAGGATGTGCTTTTAAGACATAGTATCACAGAATTTTCCCCTATATCAAATTGCTTGCTTGCAATTAAAATTGCAATCCTGGATGTACCAGTTGGGGTAACATTTTCACAAGCAGGTAGTTTCCCTTAGGGGTCCAGTTCTTCATTTTTCTTAGTAGAAAAGTATTGAAGGACTTTTTTTAAATCATAAAACTATTTCTAGTATAGCTAACCAGACTTTTCAGCAAAGTTGGTTGTACCTGTCTTTGCCCAGCTATCCTACATATTCTAGGTAAGGCCAGGACTTTTCTCAAATAACCACCTGTTGGCATTGCTGCATTTCACTAACCAAAGTTGTTAACCATGTTTCACTGTATTTGGAAATCTTATTTACTGAGTAGAAGCTTATGTGTTTTGTTCTGAAATCTCTGATTGGACACAGTGTATATAAACCCCTGTAGTGACTGACAATTCCGACTCCAGGGACCCTCAGAGCTCTTCTCTTGTCAAATACAGAAATTGAGGGCAATAAACACTTTGATCCTGGGTGACATGAAGGAGCTCTCAATACATTGAGTTTTTGTTTTTGTTTTTGTTTTTTTAGCAAGAACCCACTAAATAATTTGTAAGGCCCAGAGCAGAATGAAAATGCAGAGCCCTTTGTTCAAAAATTATTAAGAATTTCAAGACAGTGACAGTACAGCATTAAATCAAGTGTGGGGCTCATCTCTTCTAAATTCAGGCCCCATGCAACAGCACTAGTCACACACCCAGGAAACCAACTCTGTTTTCAGACTGTAAGACAACTACTACACTAAAAATACAAAAATTAGCTGGTGTTGTGTCGCATACCTGTGATCTCAGCTACTTGGGAGGCAGAGGCAAGAGAACTGCTTGAACTTGGGAGGCGGAGGTTGCAGTGAGCTGACATTGCATCATTACACTCCAGCCTGGGCAACAGAGCGAGACTCCATCTCAAAAAAAAAAAAAGAAAGAAAGGAAGATTAATCAGATGTATATATGCTCATATGTTACTGAATGCTAAAAAAAAATCCACAAGTACAAATTTTATTCTACAATTAATATACTTAAGTTATTAAATGTTCTGAATGGTTAAATAAAAACATACAAAGAAAAACCTAAGCTGGGACAGGGGCTCAAGCCTGTAATCCCAGCACTTTGGGAGGCTGAGGCAGGAGGACTGCTCAAAGCCAAGAGTTTGAGACAGGCCTGGGAACATAGTGAGACCCTCTATCTACCAAAAAAAAAAAAAATTAACATTAGCCAGGATATGAGTGTGCACACCTGTCGTCCCAACTACTCTGCAGGCTAAGGCAAGAGGATTGCTTGAGGCTAAGAGTTCAAGACCAGCCTGGGCAACACAGTGACTGACCCTGTCTCTACAAAATTTTAAAAATTAGCCAGGCACTGTGGCAAGTCCCTGTGGTCCCAGCTGCTTGCAAGGCTGAGGTGGAAAGATTGCTTGAGCCTGGAAGGACAAGATTGCAGTGAACCATTCCCATGGTACTACACTCCAGCCTGGGTGACAGGGCAAGATCTTGTTTCCAAAAGAAAAAAAAAAAAGGCATGTGTCTGTCTAATTTTTTTCTAATGATATTCAGTAAAATGTCAACCAGCAGTTTGCCAAATGAATTATCTATTAGATTGCACTTGCCACATCTGGATTATAACTAGTAAATAAGAGATTCATTTATTAATCAGGACCCTGAAAACTATCTTGTAAATCTTTAAATAAAAGATATACTTTGTTCATCATAGTTTTAAAATTAATTTTTTATGTTGTTTTAAGTTTTACCAAGCTGAGAACTTGTGACTAGAATACCTCATTTCCTCACTCCCATTCAAAGTATGCTACAATAGGGAGTTTAGTGAAATATGATTTGTCATTATTTTATTATATTTTTATTATTTACCTAGTTTTTTTTAAACAGCATCTCACTACAGCCTCCTCCTCATCCTGGGCTCAAATGATCCTCCTACCTCAGCCTCCTGAGTAGCTGGGATGACATGTGCCACCACAAATCAGCTAATTTTTTTATTTTTCTATAGAAATGGAGATCTCACTTTCTTGCTAAGGCTGGTCTCAAACCTCTGTGCTTCAGTGACCCTCCCACCACAGCCTTCCAAAGCGCTATGATTATGGGCATGAGCCACCATGCCTGGATGTCATTATTTTAAAAAGTGAAAGTTGAATAAATTCCACTGTAATCCTCTCTATACATTAGTGTTGTACCAGTGAAGAATGCTAATGCATTGCTTTCTATATGTTTGACTATTAACAGTTTTAAATCACAAACCTCCTTTGACAGTGTGAAAATGTGCCATGTGGCTCAGAATTTCATTTCCAAGCTTTAGCTTCTAAGCTAAAAGAACTATGCCGTTGCCAAATGGATTCTCTATTAAATAGCACTTCCCAAGTCTAGATTATGCTAGAAAATATACTAGTATGTACTAGTAAATATATACTAGATTATACTAGTAAATAAGCAATTCATTTATAAATCAGAACCCTGATTTAATTGTCAGGGTGCTGGGACCCCCTAGGTTGGGGGCTGGGAGGAATGCTGCACATAAAATGTGGGTCAACAGGTCTGAGTGTGACTTCT